GGCAGAAGCGGGCAGGGCTTGGGTGACGTCTGTCCAATCCCCGCGGAAGTTGCGAGGTCGAGACGGCCACTGACAGCATAGGAACTGCCCAGCTCATTTGCATACACACACAAACAGAGTTAAGGGCACACGGTAGCAGCGGCTGTAACAATGTCCTCTTCCTCCAGCTCTACCTCTAGCTTTCATTCTTCCTCCTCTCACTCTCACCCCACCTCTTCCTCCTCCTCTCACTCTCAGCCCAGCACTTCCTCTTCCTCTTGCTCTTGCTTCCATGTTGGCTTCCATGTTGCTGTAAGAAAGTACTCACCTGTGGTCTTTTTATAGTGCTAACATCCTGATTGATGCGCCAACAATTATGCTACCAGGTGTTTGGTCAGGTGGAACGTGTTTCTTGATCATTGGTCCATGTGTGAAGCATTTTGAATATCAGTGTTTTAAACCTGCTAACACGTGACTTTGTCAGATTCCTGTGTCTTACGTGGAGAAACGTGTGCAGTGGTTTGCAAAACGTGCCATGTTGATTTGCAAATTGTGTGAAAAGCTGAAAATGTGTTTAGAATTTTGGAGATTCGAGCCGATGTTTTGCTCTTTGAGTGTCAGTTAAAATAATTGTGCTTTATGTAGCATTTTAGTGTGTTAGCAATCGAGAAAAACTGTAAGCAGGAGAAAAGCACATGTGGTCGGCTTGAAGACCGGAAAGTAAAGAGAAAGAAGAAAGGGGGTTACACAATAAGTAGTCAACATCATATGTGTCCGTGTGGAAACAATACCCCCAACCCGTAGTTCCATGAGTGAATTATGTAACCTAGATAATTAGTGATCACTACAACAGTTAAAATATAGATTATTTCAGTTCATCGAAATGTTGCACCTTAATGTTTATTTTATTATATTTTATATTTATTCCAGTGAATATTCACAGTTTAATAATAATTAAAAACCCAAGACTAATATTTTATGTTTTGTGAGTAGCCTATTAGTACAGTAAAGTTCAAATACAGATTATTTCAGTTCATCGAAATGTTGCACCTTAATGTCTATTTTATTATATTTTGTATTTATTTGAGTGAATACATTATTCACAGTTTAATAATAATTAAAAAACCCCAACAAATATTTTATGTTTTGTGATCATTTTTTCTGCTGTACCGAAAACGTACCGAACCGTGACCTAAAAACCGAGGTACGTACCGAACCGAAATGTTTGTGAACCGTTACACCCCTAGGGTGTACATTTCTCCGTCATCCAATGGGAATGGACTTTAACTGCCGCCGACATGGACGGATGCGGTGCTTCCCTGAGCGTCAAATACCTCTGCCGATGGGAATACTGAATACATTGCAATCAGTTGAAAGCTCTTTGCGTCCGTTTATGAAGCTGAAGGAGACTCGATGCATCACAACTGCACGCCAAAGGACCCTGACCAAGCATCGCTCTTGGACGATCAGGAGTGAGACTGTGTTGAATAAACAAATCCCTTTTTTTTTTTTTAAAGCTACGGACTCAGAATCAGCTCTTCTCTAACAGGACTAAAATAGAGGGGTATGAGGCATGGCTAGAATGGGTGATCTGTTTGATATTTTGAGGAAAACACTTCATAGACATGTTTTTTATATTTTTCTATATATCTGAGACCTATAATATATGCCTAAAAATAGTATAATAGGAGCCCTTTAAAACTGAAATAGGCAGATAAGTATGTTAAGCCAGTGTGTACTGTTGAGATAGTGCTGGCTTGAATTGAAGATGTTGTTACCTTGTTCAAGCTGTTACCTGGGCACAGAAAGCATTCATGCAAGTGAATTCCTGGTGCTATGTTAGCCATGCCAACAGCGTGACCAGAGGTGTGACAATGTCAGCCAATCAGTATAGCACTTCATTCAAGGTCAAAGTACCTCAAGAGACATTCATGGATTTCCATGACATTTGGGACAAACATCTGTGGTGCCAACCATCATAATGACTCTGAATGAAACCTTGTCTCTAAATCTAGTGCAACAGATGAGTAAACATTTGTATCCATTGAACTATTTCTATATATTCTTGGGCACAACATGTTTTGAGGACATTAGTTGTTCTATACATTGAGGATGATTCCTTTGGTGCATTCAGCAAGTTCAGATTATTTTGGGTGAAATATGTTGCTCACTATTGGATGGACAGCTATAGTACTTGGTTTTGACAAATTGTGTTAACTTTCAGGAAGAATTGTGATAACTTTGGAGATCCATTCACTCAATTTGGTTTATAGCTGCAAAATCACATTATTAGCCTCAAGTCTACTTGTTCATTGCTAATAGGCACATTTTAGCATTCAAGCACTGTAAATATGATAATAATGATAATTATGAACATTTTCATTATCATTACCGCCAATTATTAGCATGTAATCTTTGTCCTTGAGCGTGTTGTAATGCTGATGTAGGCATCTAGCTTAAAGCATTGCTTCAAAGCATTCAGCAAAATTCCCAGCTATCTTGCCTTAATTAAGGTGGCACCAAATAGGAACGTTTGGTGAATAGAACACAGTGTACTGGAGAACGATTGTGTGGCATGTCTGTCGGACTAGTATTAATCCTCACAGTGGTCCAAAACTCAATGTTTGTCCGTTTCTTTAAGTAAAAAAAAGAAAAGAAATACTAATATAGATGTCACGATCTGTCTATGTTTTATTTTGTCCTGTCTAGATCTGTCTTTGTTTTCCTGTTTTAGTTTGAAAAGTGTTCACCCGCCGTCTTGTCTGTGGCTTCCTGTCTCTGTGTTCCCTCCTGCCTGATTACCTGATTGTGTTCACCTTGTGCCCCTGTGTTTTCTGTGTCTTGTTTGTTTGATTAGTCCTGTGTGCATTTAGGTTCTGCTTTTTCTGTTAGTCTTTGTGAGATTCTTGACGTTGTTGGAAGGGTTTATGTTCTGAGCGACTTTATGTTTTGTCTTGCCTAGTTTTGACTTTGTTTGCCTGGCCTAGTCCTCCAGGGCTGTCCCGTCGCCGCCTTCCTGCCCATCCTCCGGAGCTGTCCCGTCACTGCCTTCCTGCCCGTCCTTGTGCCCGGCCCCCTAAGTTCCCCTGCCACGACCTTCGCCCTCGAGCCTGGCCCCTTGACTTTCCCAGCCAGTGCCTTAGCCCTCAAGCCCGGCCCCCTGACTTTCCCAGCTGCTGCCTTGGCCCTCGAGCCCGGCCCCCTAAGTTACCCCATCGAGGCCTTCACCCCTGTCTTCGGCCCCCTGAGTTTCCCCGCCGCGGACTTACTTGCCCTTTTGCCTTGCCCCCGGGCGGTCCGCCCGAGTCCCCATTCTCGGCCTCTGCTTTGCCCCCCGGGCTGTCCGCCCGAGTCCCCCTTCTCGGTCTCTCGTTTGCCCCCAAGCTGTCCGCCCGAAAACGACTTAGTAAGTCTTTAACGGTACGTCCACACAGCAGCTTTTCAAAAATCTTGAAAATCTTGGAGCTGGGCGTGTCTGAAAGCTTGGGGATTTCGCGACCAACAACCAATCACATGAATCTCCCGCCCCCGACATACAAAGCAAAAAAACCCGGTTCTTCTCCACTATTTCTTTTAACATTTTGAACATTTATGAGATTAATGTCTATGGTGCTATTTTATGCTACATTCCATGCTGGCTAATGATACTGTCTATGCTTGCTAGCAACGAAGTAAACTAGCAACGAAGTAAACTGGATATAAAATCCCCCAAACAAGCGAAAACCTACCAGTTTCACCCACTGTCTCTGCCACCTCCCTCCATGCCTCGCTCCTCCAGTTTGTATCCCGGTAAGTAAATAGGGACTGGTCATAAAGAACCGGGTGATTTGCTACCGCAATAACTAAGTTCTCCTCCATTTTTGTGGAATATAGAAATGAACTGCGGGTCTGGTTCTCCCAGCTTGCACGCGGTTTGATTGGCTAGCGCTTGAACTGTCAGATTTGCATAAACGGATCTGATTGGCTGTCGCTTCCAGCTCAGCCTCAAAAGTTGAACATTGTTCAACTTTGGAATCCTGAACATCCTGGAAATCCTGGAAATCTTCGCCTCGCCCCCCCACAATGCAGTTCGGCGACAAGCGAGGGAAAGTGACGTCATCCCCATTCAAAGTCAATGGGCGGAGACGCGCTGGAAGCGGTGGACAAATCGCCAAAAGCTGCTGTGTGGACGGGCCGTAAGAATAGTGAAATCCTCTGTACTGTATGTTCTATTACAACACTTTTATATGGTGGAGTAATTGATGCTTCAAACAAGACTTTGGGTGTTGTTTTTTGTTGGGAGAGATCAAACAGCAGCCCCCAGGATATTTTGTGGTCAATCTCTGTACTGTTCAATCTTGTTTTGTGGTTAAAAATGATGAAAGTATAGGCTGGTGCTCAGTATTCACATTATAACATTGTCAGACAACCTCTCAGTGATTGCACTCCAAACTGAGGAAGACATCAGCCGAGATCTAAAGAAGAAAGTGTTCTTCATCTCTAAGTTTTCCTATCAAACCAGCATCTGGAGAACACATGGATTGGTGTGGATACACAGGAAGATGGAAGAAGGAGAACATCAGTTTCATGTTTTCTAAAAGCATTTTGTTTAGCTTTATTTTCTTTCCTCTTTACTGAATCCATGATTTAATTTGTTATCTCATCATCTTCATCATCACCCTAATTTCTTGAATATATTTTTTAGGATCAAAAACACATATAATTTGCATAATTGGAATTTCAGCAATTAGGTCCATCACATCTGCAAAGTCATACAGTACATACAGACAAATACATACAGTACTGGCCCAACAATTCAAACATCTGAAAAATGTTCACTGGAATAAATGGGGTACCATTTTGGAAAAACCCTGTAGTTCTCTTTATTTATCAATTTCAAGAGCTGTAACACCTACCAATCAATCAAGAGGATTCCACAATATGTGCAATATACAGGCCCTTATCAAACAATTGTCACTAATCTCTATCATGTCCTTGCAATCAGTGATGTCAGACAACATTCTTTCAATCAGGAGAGACGGTTTTGATGTAAGAATACATATTTATTGCAGAGATACACAAATGAATGTAATGGTGATTTTGGCGATTAGGCCCCGTTGTGCAGGAAGTATCATTCGGGAGGGTAGAACCGATCCAATGAAACCCCCCTGGGGTCTAGACACTGGTGGTGGTGAATGGATAGTTGAGTCGGTCTGAAGAGGAGTGGTTTAGCTTGACCCTGGATTCAGAGGGACAGGAGGTGAAAAGGGGTGGAGGAGGGTTGCGTAGAGTCACCTGAAATGACAGCTGTCAGAGGGGGGAGAGCAGACTTAAAAGGTTTGGCAGAGCGCTATGATAGGCTCTTGGGAATAGAGCGAAGTGATTGGTTAAGCTGGAGAGTGACGCCCCCAATCACTTATTGAGAGGAGAGAGAGTAGTTACATGGGAATAGTAAATTAAGAGTAAAGATGGTCTTCCTGGTTGAACTTACGCTGAGCTTCATTTCTTATCTGCTGCTTTTTATATTTCTCTAAAATTGTCTGTTAATGAAAAGCCTTGATATTTTTCAGATAAATTGAATTATTAAGTTATTGCTGTTAATGAGACTGTTAAGCACTGTCTTTCACTAAAATCAAGAAAAATATTTATCGTAATAGTCACATTAATGAGCGTATTTGTTTATACTTTGCAGCGATTTTATGTCATTGTTTCATGCGTCACTGTATGTTAAGATAACATTATGAAACTTCAATAGTAAATAAATGATAATACCTTATAGAGCACACTCCAAGTTCCAAAGTTCTTCAAAAAGAAAAAAAAATCAAAACATGCAAGAGACATACATGGGGCTGTATTCAGGTTTTTGTACATGAATACATTTCTAACAAAGTATAATTGAACAAGCTTTTACTTCTTACGTAAAATGGTGTTAACATGTGTTTACTTGATATAAGCAAACAAATTGGAATACCTTGTAACCTGTAAACAACTTAATAATGTAACAGCATAGAACAAAAAGAGTAAGCTGGGATCAGATGTAATGAGAGACAAAGCCAATCGAGAATGATCACAACTCTGTGTGACATTGTGAGAATTACCGAAATGTCAACCGGGAGTTGAAAGCCTCATGAAGTCAGTATTAGGTGAATCCACCAGATGCTCTCTGAAGCTTAGCTGAGCATGTCTGTTTCAATAAACAACTCACACACAGACATATCCCAGAGGTTGAGCTTTAACCGCTTGACATGATGAAGGTAAGAAGCACACTGTGTTCCCTTTCTCTGGCTTTGGTTATTAAAACAGGATGCCCTTCTGATATCTGAATAATAGATGGCTGAAATAAGGCTTGAATTGACAGAAAAGGCAAGTTTAGACCTTAGTTACATCAGTGCTGTATCTTTGCCGATGTTTGGAAGACAAGCATTTTTTCTTTATCACATTACATCCCCTCGTATTGATCCTGTAAAACAGCTTGAGCTCCTTGACCTCATTTCACAAACAGACACAGTGACATTGTGCCGGCAAATTAAAATTAAAATCAATCTCCCCTGTGTAAAAAAAAAAGAGTAGAGAGAGAGTGCATGACAGAAAGAGGGAGGGGGGAGGGAGAGAATGGGAGACCTTAAATAAAAGGTGTCATCTTCCTGGGTGGAATTGTAATGAAGTGAATTCATAGTCTCTTCCCACAGAGAGAGGAGCATAGAGCAGCTGCAATTTATCAGCAAACCAGAGTCAAACGACCCCAGTCAGAGGAGGGGGAGGGCTCTCATCAGTGCCGTTAAAAGCTAAAGCAGGCTAATCACAAGACTGGGTGTGCGATTAAAGATGGCGTAATTCTATTGCAAGACCAACACACAACCTCTTTCTGCAAACATTAACTATTTTGATGGCTGAATTTGGCCTACATAACCAAGTGATCTGGGACACCTGGAAACTGACAATGATCATTTTTTTATACGTCATTGCAACATTTTCGGGACTGAAGAGGACGACAAAAACAAGACATCAACTTCAAAAGATTGATCTGTTGTCCAGATTCACTCAGCAGCTCAAGAACATGTACACCTAAATCACTAAAGACATCAGCTTGATGGCAAGTGATCTATTGACAACATTTCCAGAATAGATGCCAGAATATTTCTGAAAAGGGAAAGTGCTGTAAAAAAGGATTCCATGTGGTATGTGTTGTGACAGCCTAAAATCTAGTCAACAACAAACAGAGTCACTTAGGATTGGCTCTAAGATTCTGCTATGTCTTAAAAAATAGTTGGTGGCCCTTAAACACTGCCAGCACAACCACCAAATCAAACTGATAAGTAGTGTTTGCCCCGACATTTCTGACAACTTAGGTTTATGTTGTAGTTGCTCTTGGAGCAGCAGAAGTGTCTCTCAAATATTTCAATAATGAAAAAATTGAGGTATTTTTGCGTTTATCTATGTTAGCCAGCTTGTTACTGTTTTGATTGATCAAAAACAGGATTGTAATGGTAAAACATAACAGATTAATTCAATGGAACAAACAATCACCTACCATTATCCTTTTTTTCTTCTACGCATCTCCAAGTAAATGTTTTGCCCTTGAGTCCTTCATTTTTTTTGAGGGGCCTACATGTTCATTCAACATTTCAAATGTTTCCATGCTTTAACTCAACTCAGGGATTGTTTGTAATCATAAATATATTAGTTAATGATAAAAAAGCATCTTTAAATGCCCTGTTATACAGTACTTAAAGATCACTTAAAGCAGCTCCATCAAAACAACTGAAGCACTAAAGCTACATTAACTTTTCTCACCCTCAACCTCCTAAGCAACAGTCACTCAGAGTTCACTCACTCAGCACAGGCTATTCCAATAAAAACATATTTAACAGCCCTCTTTCAGATGCAGGAAAGCCAGAGAAACCAACTGGGATGTTCAAGAAAGGGTTATTAAAGTCTCCTTAATCAACAACTTATATCCAATTTAGGCAGGTTTGGGGACAGCAATTCTGCAAATTCACAGATCTGGTCACCCTCTTCACCAAAATGTCGGCATCAGTCATTCAACAAAACAGCATCAAACAAATTCAGGCATTTGCCAAACATAATATCATCAGTCGCTATGCAGATGACATAATATGGTTTGTTGACAAAACCCACCTCCATAAATAATGATTACAAATGGTAAATGTGTTATTGGCAGAATAGTGAAACATTTAAACGTCAATACTCAATAAAAAATATTAATTATTTACAACGATTCAAATTCAACCAACATTTTACATCACTACACTCTGTCATCACCAAATAATATTTGACAACAAGACAAACAGGATCAAACTGGCATTCCTACAGTAAAGAATGTTCAAGCTCCCTATACATACGTATTTGAATCCAGCATAACCAGGCAACACATGGATGACAAATACATACTATGTACAGAAATTTACATCACATACTTTTCTTAGTCAATCCAACAAAGAACACTGACTCAAAGAATCAACAATTAGAAGACGTATAAGGCACTAATAATGCTGACTACTTACTTTAAGCTAATTTATAAGAAACCAAATCTTCTCTTTGAGCAACAATTCCAACATGCAGGTCACACAATACAGGATAATCCACCAAGTTCTCCCCACAGGCTGTTGGAATTGGGGTTGGCACAATCTGAAATGTGTTCAAACTGTACACAAAACATTCAACACCTACTTCTACTTTACACTTTTGGACAGATACCACTACCACCCTTTACACCATTTGACTTTTTCATAAAATCTCTAACCCTAACCCTCACCCTGATATATTCTTTAATTATAAATGAATCTATAACTAATACAATGTAATATAATATACATTATTACATTTTAAGAAAGCAAATGTTATTTTACTTTTCTTTTCGTCTTATGATAACATGTCGCAGCTATCATGCCCTTCTTTGTGTCCTTTGATGAACTTCTCCATTATATTGAGTACTTTGGGGTGCTTTATTCTACCTGACTGGCATGTGGATGACATCGGTAAGGGGTTGGTCCTCTCAAACAAATACTAAGGAAAAATAAAAATTGCAGGCAACAACATAATAACTCACTCATAATGGACTAGCTTTCTGTCCGTATGGGTCTGGTCAACACACAAACCATGATTAAGGAGTGTGATCGAAATACAAAAATTAGCATAATTAATCTTCTTTGAAACAAAAGTGTCTCCTTTTAATACAAATCAGAAACACAAGACACTGTAAGAGTTGCATTTTAACCAGGGAAGTTAGTACCAAGATAACTATAACTGGGTTTGAAGCTGCCCCTAGTTGGTTATGTGTACTCAAAATGGAATTGAAATATGAGAATATTGTTTGTTTTTGGCCACAACATATATTTAATCAAGAGAGTCTAAAGTCCTGGTAGTTTCTCTCAGAAGCTACAACATGTTGTGCTTTTGAAACAGCTGATCCTGGCACAGTTCTACTCAAACCGTTGAAAAACGCTTACTATGTATGACCATTCCAACAAAACTTTATATTGTTTAAGTCTCCAGCAAAAACCTGTGAGTTTATCCCCCATTCCTTTACATCATTTATTTTTGTTTACACAGAAGTCGTTTCTCTTTAAATTTCAACTTTGCATCAGAATGGATAAAAAGCAACCAGGTCATTTAAATTCTCTTCTCATTATAGTCTGGGAGACACAGATAGAGAGGTCCAATTTACATTTAGATTGTTTCAGCTGAAGTAAATTAATCAACACTGCAACCCGGCCGACTCACTTGTACAGAATACCCAGAAGACTGACACACATGCATACATATATTTTATGTATAGTGTATATAAATTCACACTTATGTGACACAAAATGAAGTTATTTGTATACAAATCAAAGGGTGAATCAATCCACCACAATCTACTGAATATGCTCTTTACTGTCAATTATTCCCACAGTAAATCACAGCTCCAATGCTTTAAAATATCATTATTACATGTGTGAGAGAAAGAGCTTAACTCTTTTAATTGATTTACTTTGTTACTGTTTCAATGCTAACATCAGTTTTTTTAATAGGACGGTTTTAGATTGGCCTGCTGTTTTTGTGGCAGCAGTGTATATAAACCATTGCATTTTTTTAACAGCTTTCACCATTGTCTCATTACAGTCTTGGTTGTTCCTTATAGTTTATTTTGCCCCTGGGCTATTTCCAATGGCAACATTCTGCCTCATTTATTTAATTACCATCAGTTGTTATTGAACAAACTAAACTACTCTTTAGCTAAACTCATTTGTGTTCACATTAACTACAGTTACGGTATGTTGAACATTTGATTTGTTGTGAGCAACATGGAACATAACTAACTTTCAAGACTCATTTTGATCATAATGGTTTAAATTAGGATGGTTTCTCCCCCAAATGAATAATTTGTCAACCTTTATAAGATCATTCTTCTATGTGAATGGTGAGGTAAGGCTGAAACTAACATTTTGACATTTATGCATCGCAATTGAGGCTCAGCTTGTACAGAATTTTTCTGGATTTGCTAAGCTGCCTTGTTACAATACAACAATATCTTAATGACAGACATACGGGCCATGCAGTTGGTTCCTGCTGTAGGATTACTGGTTCTGTGAACAAAAATAGTCCTTTCAAACAGAACTGAACAATACTGTGTCAAAACAGCAGGTGAATAAAAAGGTGGAATTGCAAAAACCTATGAAGAGTTCTATCTTTCCAAAAATGTATTTTTTTACAAACCAAAAGCAGCATAGCCTACAAGTATTTTATAAATGTGTTTCTTGTTATATTACCGTATTTTCCGGACTACAAGTCGCAACTGAGTATTGTTAACTGTGTTCTTATTCTCAGCGTCCAGGAAAGAGAAGCTTAAAAATGAGACTAAATGGAGTCTCTGGGGATTCAAAATTGGTACTTTAATTAATAAAAAAGGCGCGGTAAAGTCACAAACAGGATATGGTCCGACAGGAGAGAAAGTCTGCAGCTTCCTCTCCAGCTGCTGGCCGTGCAGACGAGCCCTTACAAGCATTCGTCCTTCCCGCTTGCTCGCTGTTCGCTCCTCCTCTCTGTGAGCTGTAGTGACGTAAGGGACTTCCCCCTCTCGTTCGTCTGTGTCCGATATCGCGTTAAACAGAGGATTTCGACATTTTACATTCATTGCTTACTTCCACATGCCTTTTCTCCTCCTTATCTCTTTCATAACTTTATATGTAATACATGTTAACGGCGTCAATAGCCACTTTAATGATACTAATGGGCGTTAGTCCCGGATGTCGTCATGAAGGATTTTCAGAATAAAAGCTTAACTGGTTGTGCACAAGAACTTCTGGTTTTTCAGTATAAAACAGCATTTAAACTGACGGTATGTTTAGGGTACATTATGCTATCAAAACATTGATTTTAATTTCTAACAGTCCCTCCTTACACACCTAAAAGGTGTGTATAATACTGAAATAAATGAGTTAATCTGAACTCTGCATAGTACATAACTCATATATCAAAAACATACAATCAAAATGGAATGGTTCGAATAGCCTCAACTTTACAAAAATACCTTGACTGTATTCAAACATAAAAGTTTTACCTTGTGCATAACTTCTAGTGTTAACATTCAATATGGTTCTTCAAAATAGCAGTAATGGCTTGGTATCAGAACATTTCTTCCTCCCTCCTTTCACAGAAACCGTTCCCATACCACGCTCAGTGTTAAGGCACTTGTTTTTACAAAGTGAAAAGAAACGACCCATTTCAGAATAGCAATGATTTATAAAACATGGGATCCATCATATTAGAACAGTGAAAAATAATAAAAATGAAATAAACTATCTTGGACCAGTGTAATGTAATAATAAAAATATACCATCTTGGAATAGTATATTATAAATTGAAATGGATTCACTCCATTTTAGCATTTTATTTTTCTCACTTCTTCACATGATTTCATCATTTAAAGAATCACATTGGCTGGACATTCATTGAACAACCTGGTCTCTGAACATCCATATCATTTAACATCATTCAAACTAACTCATCATTTTCATTCATCTGTATACAGGGGTGGATCGTCCTGTTCTACTAGCATTTGTGATTGTCCCCCATGAGAAATGTACCCTCCCTATTTCATATCATTTAAGGTATGAAAGTAATATGTTCTCTAGAAGAGGCCGTTGTAATCAATCGGTATTTTAGGACATGGAATTAGTGCAACATCTAGGCCTCCCCTGGGCGCCCCTATGCTATCCTTGTACCCTGGAGCCTAAACTCCCCCTGGGACTGGTCTCTTAGCCCTACTGGCTTTGGGGTGGTCTGTTCTAATACAGTGATAAAGTCCCTGAAATGGTGTGAAAACCGGTGGAATATCAATAACTCATTATACTAATTTATTTTCATTTCTGGTCTACTTAAATAACTATGCTAACCTCCTTAACAGTGTGTGGAACCTTGGGTGCTTTAACAAGGACTTTAAAAACAGAAGTCATTTCATTAATGGTTTGTAGTTCAATTCAGGAATTTTCACTCATGGCAGATATGTTTCTCCTTTTAAATAACATCTCTAAATGTCAGGTCATCACTGATTAAATGGATGAGCATTAGGAGGTGGTGGCACTTGTCTTTTAAAACTCATACTCTGGTGCCGTGCGCTCCCTCTGAAGCTGCAAGTAAGATTTAAAACATCTGCAGGGTGGGTTGAGCAACCCCTTCTCCCTGAACGATATTTGTTGTTGAAAATATGCACCATTAAAATGAGTGATCCAAAGCCCCGCATGTATTACTCCCAATTATACTAGTTTTTTCAAAATTAAAATCTTCAATCGCTCTTTGCCTAGTGTCTTTTTAAAACTCTACATCTTGGACGACAAACAAATGTTGTTTCCACCTTAACAGTTCTCCTATGGTAATAACCATGCTAAAATGGTGAAACCAATACTCTAGATTGGAATACTTTCTTTGGCTTGGTTCCAGCTCTACCTTTAACATTTTCCATTCAAATAAAGATTTGCCTGCTATCTATATTGTAACAAATTAAATCTTCCCCAAATTCTCACATGAATAAGAATCTCTATAAGAACAATTTGTTTATATTATGAAAAGATTGAATAATATGTTCTACCCTCAGTGTGTTTTTAGGATTATTTTCTAATAAGTGTGTTTTTGTGTAAACTCACTCACTCCTGTGTTCCTTCTCTCCCCCTCTGGTCGTCGAGCCACGACCCCCTCAAGTTCTGCTGGCCCATGGCAACTGCTGTAATTATTTTCAGTGGCCCAACTGCTTTACATTTCATCTCCTCCTTTTCAGTCTCTACGCTGTTGCATGGAGTGGTGTATTCTGCTCTCATGTCCCACACTCTGTTCTTGTGCCAAATCTGGCGGCTCAGTTTGGAACTTCATGTCCTGTTTGAGGGACCGATGAGAGTTTGCCTCTTTGTCAGCATGCTGGTTTGGTTCTGGATGCCTCAGGTGGAGATGGTTCTGGATGCCTCAGGTCGTTGTTGGTTCAGCTCGGGTTGTCTGTCTGTTTGATGGAGGAGGAGTCTCCTGTGGTGAGGTCATTTGTCTGAAGATGGGGTCGTAGCATTCTGACAGGCAGAGAGAGAGAGAGAGAGAGATCTCGGGCCGCATTACCTATAGTTAATTCTAACACACTGAGGTAAAACATATCCAATCCTTTCCACTCTATTCTCCTAATCTTACTATCTGTCTTAGATGTTAAATGTCATCTAAACCCAATTAATGTCTACTAATGGTTGTGCCATATCCCTAAACATTGTTTCCACCCACTGTAACATGGCTACTCCAAATAACTCTTTCAGGAAACCATTTTCTTCTATAAATTAAAAATACCAACATGTTTCAAGCACCACATATTTCACACACTATAAAAGAATGTCCCCATATTTTCTCCATTACTTTAAATCTCCCTGTTATTTAGAACATAAGTAACTTTTGTGACTGGACATATCTGCGATGTCGCCACAATCTACTAGGGAATTTTGTTCATAGAGTTTGTACGTACAAAGCTGTACTTGTGGGTTAGTAGCCTGTTTCTACTGTAATAATTTTCAATAATTGTGCTCAGGTCACCGGTCGGTTGTCCATAAACTTAACAGGGGTGTTTCTGGCACAGACTAAAACATGGATCCAGTGTATTTGGAGATTCTCCTAATCTGTAAATTCCCATCACTTACATATCCCAATCACTTAAACCCATCTCATAATTTGATACAAGAACTGCATATATGGGGGGTGAATCATCTTGATTGTAACCGCCTCACCTTTGGGACCGAGTATTTCTAACTCCTCCTCTTGTTGCTCAGCTGATCTTTTGGCTCTAGGGATAAGTGAAACTCTCTGAAACACAGCTGGAGTTGTGTTAGTGATGTGGGCATTCTCTATGAGTGGACTAATGGATCCATGTCTTACTTGATATTGTACTCCCCATCTAACCAGAAAGGTGCCACGTGTAATGAGCACAATCAACAGTGCTATTCTGACTCTTATCCCTAGGGGACCCCACAATTGCTTTGGCTTTGTTCTTGACATCATCTCTATTTTCTCCCTTGGTGTCAGTTACAGAATTTAAATAATGAGTACCATAATAACGTATACAAAAATTGGACTCTTTTTCAGATGTAAAACAAAAATAGGTTTTCACTTTAGTGTACAATCTATACAAATCTATAGACAATTCGTCTTTTGAGCTGTTTCTATCTTTATCTTATTTCTATTTATTGTTTTGTTCCAGCTCTGCCAAATCAGTCCTAACTCCCAATATTGTTCTGGAAGTTGCCAGTGAAGAGTGACAATGTGTGAGGTGGTGTCAATTTGCTCCTTTTTCTTTACCTTTAAACCGGAGCGCGTGTGAAGTTCATTACAACTTCTCACTGTTCCGTCCACCGGGGATCAGCTCACTGTCTTTTGTGAACTTTCACCCTCACCCAATCACCTGGCCGAACAGGAGTCTCTTCTGGTGTCTCGTCTGGTATCTTTGTAGCTTTCTTAGCCTGTGTAGACAAAACTTGGATAATATTACTCAGAGTTCTGACATATTCATTACTTTTATTTGTCTAATATCTAAAACTGGACCACTCCCTCCTTGGAGGAGGCCCAAGCGTCGGCATACCTTTTGTCGTTATGAGACCTATTATTAACTACATGTTATTATTTAATAACTACAACGTCACTGAAATCAACAGATCTGTATAATCATGACACTCCCTCCTTTGAGCAGAACATGCTCAATTAATATTGCAATGATTACCCTATTCTGAACAGGACATGTAAAACCCATAACGTTGCATTAAATAAATATAACTTCTCCGTGTACCCATAAGGCGTACAAAATATCGTATGATGTATGGCTTTCTGATGGTATAAAAACATATTCACTAAAATCTGCCATTAGCACAACAAATGGTTTACTTGTTGCAATAATGGCTTTTGTCCTGGTATTATGCATCATTGTTGCTGCGAAAAACAATACCCCTGGTGTCGCTAATGCGTCTCAATAATTCTAGGATTAGAGGATTGTTTGATACTGCTGTACAAAGATATAATAAAATAATATTTCTCTAAACTAGAGGGAAAAATACGAACCATTCTCACAGAGGGTGACATGCATGAAGGACTGGTGGCCCTCACTCAAAATGAGATAGTGCCTTACGCACTACATTATAAATCAGTAAAATTACTCAAGAATAAATAAATAAAAACTGATTCTTGAAACTTCTTCATCCAAGCTCTCAATCAGTGTTATGTTATTTAATCTTCAGCTCATTGCCTTAAAACAGATACTTCAGACCGATTATAAAATTGTGTTTATGAGAAAAATGTAATCTGACTCCATAAATCACACAATTGTTTGACTAAAAAACGACACTTCCACTAACAATAAATGAAGTTCCCCTTTAAACACAGCCCCGGTCTTCTGACGGGGTCTATCTATGTACTGGCTGGAAAATGTTGTGCCAGTCTCTGTCGCTCTGTCACTGTTCTTCCGCTAACAGTCACTCTCTAGTTCTGCTGGGTTCTTGTTGACGTCTTCAC